TCGCGGAGCCCAGGACCCGAGTGACGCGAGCAGCTGCAAAGTCCTCCCGCACCAACGGCCCCAGCGGCATCTATGAGGAAGAGCCTGGGTTCCGGCTGATATATCCGCGGCGGCTGGGTCTCTCTGCGCATGCGTCACCAAGGGGCTGGGCGGAAACGACACCAGAGCCGCGGCGTGGGGGGGCGGGACTGAAGAGCGTAAAGGACGCGATGCGTTTCCATGGGAACGCCGGCTCAGTGGGTATAGTGTCGGCCTGTGAAGGGAAGGATCCCGCCTCGATTCTGGTCAAGAGCAGGTACCTAGATTGCAGGCTCCTCGCTGATCCAGGCCCAGGTCGGGGCTCATGGAAGAGACAACCAGTCGATGTGTTTCTCTTACATCCGTATTTTTTTTTAATTTATTTTATTGCTTAAAATATTACAAAGGGTATTACATATGTGTCCTTTTTTTTTCCCCAGGGCCCTCAAATCTGTATTTCTCTGTCTTTCCCTGTCTCTTCCACTCTCTCTTAAAAATCAATGGGAAAATATCCTCATGTGATATTTTAAAAAATAATTATATTCCAGCTGGTATGGCTCAGTGGTTGAGCCTCAACTTAGGAACCAGGAGGTCAAGGTTCAATTCCTGGTCAGGGCACAAGCCTGATTTGCCAGCTGAATTCCCACGGAAGGGAGGGGGGGGAGGCGGGGCATCCAGTATACAGCTAATCAGTGACTCTCTCCCACCACTGATGTTTTCATCTCTCTCTCCTTTTCATTTTCGCTCTCAAAAGCAATATATATTTTTTAGAAAGGATATCTATAATAATCTATAATAATAAAAGGATAATATGGTAATTACACCAGACATCCTTCAGTCCTTGCAGATGAAGGGAAACCCAAGTCCTGGCTGCCTGCCAATGGCCAGAGGGAAGCCGGTGTTGGCAGCCAGGGGAAGGAAGGCCTATTCTTGCATGAATTGTGTGCATCGGGCCTCCAGTATATACGTATATGCATAGCCCATGGACATAGACCAGGGGTCCTCAAACTTTTTAAACAGGGGGCCAGTTCACTGTCCCTCAGACCATTGGAGGGCCGCACTATAGTTTAAAAAAAAACTATGAACAAATTCCTATGCACACTACACATATCTTATTTTGAAGTAAGAAAACAAAACGGGAACAAATACAATATTTGTATTTGCATGTGGCCCGTGGGCCGTAGTTTGAGGACCCCTGACATAGACAATAAGGTCGGGGGTGGGGCTAGAAGTCGTGGTGGAAGGTAGACAGAGGCAAAGGGGGAGGAGAGAAATGGGAGGAAATCTGTAATAGTCAACAATATTAAAAAAGTGTTAAAATTTAATTGACCCAACAAAACCAAAATGAGTGTCGGCCATCACTTTTTCTCCCAACCCTTGTAAGCAAAACCATGCCTGTGCCTGTGTTTTTAAGAGGGTGTGCCAGGCATAACTGTGTTCGGGGACAGGAAGCAGCCTGGACCAGGTCGGCCTCAGGTTGCCCTGTAATGTTTGAGTTCTTGACTTCATGCTGAAAAGATTTCACAACGTGAATTCAGAAGATTTCCAGCACGTTTATTGAAGCTGGAGATAATGAAAACAAATGTAGGCCCTGGGATAGAACAAGCAACAGCAGAGACCAGGCGGGGCGCCTACGACTCTAGGAGCACTGTGGGAAATAAGGGAGCCAAGGAGGGGCTGCGGTGAGCTCTCTGGACAATCAGAGAAAAGGGGTCCTTGAGTGCAGGTTCAGGGGCTCATCCACGGATCAGCTGCTGCTGCTCCGTGCTGCCCGAGTTGCAGGTCAGGTTAAAAGCTTAGAAGAGCCCGGCTGGTGTGGCTCAGTGGTTGAGCATCGACCTGTGAACCAGGAGGTCACAGTTTGATTCCCCGGTCAGAACACATGCCCAGGTTGTGGGGCGTGCAAGAGGCAGCTGATCAATGATTCTCTTTCATCATTGTAGTTTCTCTCTCTCTCTCCCTCTCCCTTTCTCTCTGAAATCGTTCTCTCTCATCGGTGTCTTTCTATTTTTCTCTCCCTTATTCTCTGAAACCAATTAAAATGCATTTAAATTCATATATATGTAGTTAAATGTACATTTTATTTTATTTATTTTCTTTAGTATATTTTATTGACTTTTTAAAGAGAGGAAGGGAGAGGGATAAAGAGTTAGAAACATCAATGAGAGAGAAACATACTGGGGATGTGCCCGCAACCAAGGTATATGCCCTTGACTGGAATCGAACCTGGGACCCTTGCGTCCACAGGCCGATGCTCTATCTCCTGAGTGAAACCGGTTAGGGCTAAAAATGTACATTTTACTTTATTTTATTTTTTTAATATATTTTTTATTGATTTTTTACAGAGAGGAAGGGAGAAGGATAGAGAATTAGAAACATCGACGAGAGAGAAACATCGATCAGCTGCCTCCTGCACACCCCCTACTGGGGATGTGCCTGCAACCAAGGTACATGCCCTTGACCGGAATTGAACATGGGACCTTTCAGTCCGCAGGCTGACGCTCTATCCACTGAGCCAAACCGGTCAGGGCTAAAATGTACATTTTAAATCAATTATACTTAAAGTTTTAAATGTTTAAAACTTGCTACTTCCCAATTATTTTACTATTTTATTACGAATATTCTTGAGCATGTTTGTTCCTACTGTACCAGTATTTTGGAAATAAAACATCATGATATGCTACTGAAGTATCTTATCATGCCCATGTTCAGTTCCATCGTTTCAGCAGTTTTAAGCTGACAATGATGAGAGTATTTACACCAGGGAAATTGACAAATACTACAAACCTTGTTTTATTGTACTACTGAATACTTAAACTTAGAAAAGAATGTTAGGAATGCAGATTAACTTAATAGTGTATCTTACAAATGGGATTTAATGGCTTTTAGGATTAAATTTGAGAAAACACACCCAGCCAGTAGAGCTCAGCTGTTGAGCATCTAACCAGGGACCAAGGGGTTGTTGGTTCAAATTCCAGTCAGGGCAAATGCCTGGGTTTCGAGCTTGGATCTCCAGTGTGGATCTTGCAAGAGGCAGCCAATGGATTATGTCCCCCACTCGCATGTTTTTATCTATCAGTCTTCCTTCCTCTCTCTAAAAGCAATAAAAACAGATTTTAAAATAAATTGGGAGCCGCTGTGTAAAGCTTGCAGCTCTGTGGTGCGGCCAGGAGACAGTGATGGCCCTCCGGGCAGGGGGCACTCAGTGGCTTGTCTGTGTCCTGCTCTTTCCTCTCCCCACTGACAGCGCAGCCTCAGTCATCTGGGATCTCAGGGAGCCCCGCAGCTGGGCTGGCAAAATCCGCATGTACCCGCGGGGCAACCTCTGGGCCACTGGTCACTTCATGGGCAAGAAGAGTCTGGAGCCCCTGGCTCATCCCTACTAGAGACAGCTCCCGACGTTTTGCTGGGGGACCAGAGACTGCAGAGGAGTCATGATCTGAAGCAGGGGGTCCCTCGGGGGTGAGGACGACAGAGCCCCAACGTGCTAGGGCGTCTGCATGCACGACTCCGGAGACCAGGTTCAGTGACTCAGATCCGTTTTATTGTGGAACTACAGGGGTATATATAGAATGAGGGGACCAATCAGAGGGAGACACGTTGCT